AATTTTTAATTTATGATATTGTGTGATGATGATTTTTATTCCCATGATAATGTTCAGTATTATATCATCGTATATTCTGTACTGGTAATGGTATTGATGTCCTATGTGGGACCCAAGGCCATGTACACTTGCTGACATATTAATGTATATTGGTTTTGATGGACGTACAGTATAGCCTGTGTAACCCTGTAATTAGGATAGGTGGTGAGAGATAATAGGAAAAGGAGGGGGGGGTAGCATGTGCCTGCACGAAGTTGTAAGTGCGGTGAGTCTCTCGGCAATGAGATTATAATTATATGAAAGATTAGGAGCTAATTAATTAATTTTTAGTTTATCTTTTAGACTGTATATAAAAAAAAGTTTTTAAGGTTTTTTGTTAGTGATGCGGATGTTGTAGCACTTATATATGTCTTCATATTTTGTGATTTGAGTCATTCGTGTATGATATACAAGTATATTGTATACTGAGGGGTTATAAATACAAAATACAAAAATTCGGGAATGAATAGCTACAGAATGTTTTGGTGTATTAAATGCTAATATTACAATATAAATTGAGAGGCCAAAGCATTAGTGCACATAGAAAGTTTTGTATATACAGTCATATGAATTAAGGGCACGTAAGTAGGGTAGGATAGTAGTAATTTTTGATGTATGGTATTTGTTAATTTTGTTAATTATAAGGAATTTTTGTTTTCTTTGTAAATGTTTCATGTTTTGTGAACACGTCAATTGTGTGATATACATGTTACTGTATCCTGTGTTTTTAAATAAAATAAAAAAAAAATAAGTGTCAGGGGCCCGAGACTGTTCAACTGCCTCCCAGCATACATAAGGGGGATTACCAATAGACCCCTGGCAGTCATCAAGGGGGAATCTGACGTCCACACATGAACTTTTTTATTTTTCGTTCGATTTCTTTCATTTTTTTTTTTTTTTTGTACGTAAAGAAGCACCTTCCAATAGTAATGTGACCAAGTTTCAATAAGATAGCTCAAAAAACAACTGAGAAAAAAATTATTTACTAATAATCATACATATTGAACAGAAACTTCGACATGGGACTTGGAGAAGCTGTTTTGGCATTATCTACGCATAAAACAATGCTAAACTGTATTTCTAACGGTTAGCATGACTCAAGAAATCGTAATGACACGATTGCAAATAAACCATACCCCCGGCCGGGATTGAACCCGCGGTCATAGAGTCTCAAAACTCCAGCCCGTCGCGTTAGCCACTAGACCAGCTAGCCACAATAAGATTCATCCAACTAGGTATATTTCTACACCATAGGAAAGTTAGCACAGGCACCTCTGTGACCACAAATGCAAGTTTTTACAGACGAATCTCCAGCTAGCGTGGCCGTGACGAACTCTAGCTCAAGTCCCTTCACTGCCGTCAACATGACTCAAGAAATCGCTAGAGTTCGTCACGGCCACGCTAGCTGGAGATTCGTCTGTAAAAACTTGCATTTGTGGTCACAGAGGTGCCTGTGCTAACTTTCCTATGGTGTAGAAATATACCTAGTTGGATGAATCTTATTGTGGCTAGCTGGTCTAGTGGCTAACGCGACGGGCTGGAGTTTTGAGACTCTATGACCGCGGGTTCAATCCCGGCCGGGGGTATGGTTTATTTGCAATCGTGTCATTACGATTTCTTGAGTCATGTTGACGGCAGTGAAGGGACTTGAGCTAGAGTTTCGTCACGGCCACGCTAGCTGGAGATTCGTCTGTAAAAACTTGCATTTGTGGTCACAGAGGTGCCTGTGCTAACTTCCTATGGTGTAGAAATAATACCTAGTTGGATGATTTATTGTGGCTAGCTGGTCTAGTGGCTAACGCGACGGGCTGGAGTTTTGAGACTCTATGACCGCGGGTTCAATCCCGGCCGGGGGTATGGTTTTTTTTTAACGGTTAGCAGTTCTGTAATTTATCCTTTCTTCATTCTTAAAAAAAATAAATTTTGTATGGTTTGACTTTTAGCCAATATCTGACTTTTACCCTCACATAAATCAAAACAAATTATGATATCTCAAAAAGCAAACCATTAGTTTGTAAAACACAATCTTTCCCTTTATGTTCGCTGTGAATTTCATTACATTCCTGCTATTATTAACGAATTTCGTGGCTCATATATGTGAATAACTTACTTCCGAGATAATCCGCGAAACAGCCGGACCACCGATTTTTTTTTTTTTTTTTTCGAGAAAATAACATTTTTTCTCAGTCTTATACTGCATTACGAGTGTATATCATAGTTACCCATGTTCGTTTTCTTTAATATAAGGACCCTGGAGGTGAAAGAAAGAGAATGGAAGCCCCTCTCTGAGAATGGGAATCTATTATTCCCGATGGAGCGCTCTGGGAATATGCCATATATTATTCATTCTGGAGTATTTACCATATTTCTTTGTTATTTATATTGTTTAGTATGTCATATTAGATCAATTGTGATAGATAAATAAGCCGTAGAAGCTATAATAGCGTTATATTGAGCCATATTCCCCGGCCACCCCGAGACTGGAATTTTCCAGGGACGTCAGCAAAATCGTGTCGGGAGGTTCCGGGTTTGGGTTTGGAACTCTACGTATAAGTCCCGCCCAATGTATTATGATGCCAAATCGTCAATTATTATCTTAGAAAGAATAATACAATAAATACACGAAAAAAAAAACGGAAAAAAAAAATTGAGGACAGGTGAGCACACCTGCCGCGGGTGGTGACGTAACCCTAGGTGTTTTTAAATGACCATAATTCCTTGTAGGAATATCTTATCTTATCTTATCTGTAGAACAATGATTCTGGTACCATTGTGTTGCCAGAGAGTTAAGCTATTTTTATATAAGATTAATTCAGTTTGTGAATTTTTCGACAAAATTTTTCGTTCGCGCTGAGTAAGTACTAATTCCCCCTCAAGCTGGCACTGGACAAGCACCTAAAGTCGGTACCTGACCAGCCGGGCTGTGGCTCGTACGTTGGTTTGCGTGCAGCCAGCAGTAACAGCCTGGTTGATCAGGCTCTGATCCACCAGGAGGCCTGGTCACAGACCGGGCCGCGGGGGCGTTGACCCCCGGAACTCTCTCCAGGTAAACTCCAGGACACAATCTTACTGCTGCTAGCAGTAACTGTTTGGTTAGGGTGCCTAAAAACTTCGTCAGCTTACGAATCCGGTCAGAGAATATCTTGTTTTTAACGAATCCGGTTGGGTGTTAAGGGCAGATTTTGAATCAGGTCATTGGTTCATTTATTTTTGGACAAATCCACACAGTGGATCGCTTATTTGTGAACTAATCCAGGAAATTTTCAGTAACTATAATACTACTGCAAGAATAATACACGCTAATTAAATATCAGAAATACATAATAAATTCTGTTACTATTCGTACAGTACAGGTATCATACGGGAGTCGCCACACAATAACGCCTCATTCCTTCCTCAGTCTTTGCAGAGTACATACTGCGGACGCTACCTGCTGGTCGTGTTGTGCAGTGTTCTGGCTTATGGAATTTCATAGTTTGTACTGGTAAGAGCTGAAGTATCATATTGTTTGTAATGTCTACATGGTAGAGCTTCATACCGTGTATATTTGAGCTTCATGCAGTACATACAGGTATGTTTAATTTTTTTATTTTTGCTATAGTGTATTCTAGTGGGGGGGGGGGGGGGGGGGAAGAGCTAACATGAAAATAAGCTAATTTTTCACTTGAACCAGTTTAGCTATCAACACTTAGCTGCCCACCACCCGGGAGCCATTATGTACCTCTGTAATCTTTTGACTATCACCCACACCATGGGTAATGGGGGTACTGACTGCCGCCCACACCATGGGTGTGTGGGGGTAAGACTGCCGGGCCCACACCACGGGTAAGATAAGATAAGATAAAGATTTCGTTGGGATTTTTAACCCCGGGGGTTAGCCACCCAGGATAACCCAAGAAAGTCAGTGCGTCATCGAGGACTGTCTAACTTATTTCCCTTGGGGTCCTTAATCTTGTTCCCCCAGGATTTCGACCCACACCAGTCGACTAACACCCAGGTACCTATTTTGCTTGCTAGGTGAACAGGACAATAGGGGTAAGGAAAAGTGTCGGAATTTCCACCCGCCGGGAATCGAACCCGGGCCCTCCGTGTGTGAAGCGGGAGCTTTAGCCACCAGACCACCGGGCCACGGGGTGTAAGTAGGGGTACTTTACTGCCGCCCACACCACGGGTATGGGGGTACTGACTGCCGCCCACACCCCGGGTATGGGGTTACTGACTGCCGCCCGCACCACGGGTTATGGGGGTACTGACTGCCGCCCGCACCACGGGTATGGGGGTACTGACTGCCGCCCGCACCACGGGTATGGGGGTACTGACTGCCGCCCGCACCACGGGTATGGGGGTACTGACTGCCGCCCGCACCAGGGTATGGGGTACTGACTGCCGCCCGCACCACGGGTATGGGGGTACTGACTGCCGCCCCGCACCACGGGTATGGGGGTACTGACTGCCGCCCGCACCACGGGTATGGGGTACTGACTGCCGCCCACACGATGGGTATGGGGTACTGACTGCCGCCCACACGATGGGTATTGGGGGTACTGACCCGCCGCCCACACCATGGGTATTTGGGTACTGACTGCCGCCCACACCATGGGTAGGGGTACTGACTGCCGCCCACACCATGGGTATGGGGGTACTGACTGCCGCCCACACCATGGGTATGGGGTACTGACTTCACCCACACGATGGGTATGGGGTACTGACTGCCGCCCACACGATGGGGATGGGGGTACTGACTGCCGCCCCACACGATGGGTATGGGGGTACTGACTGCCGCCCACACGATGGGTATGGGGGTACTGACTGCCGCCCACACGATGGGTATGGGGGTACTGACTGCCGCCCACACGATGGGTATGGGGGGGACTGACTGCCGCCCACACGATGGGTATGGGGGTACTGACTGCCGCCCACACGATGGGTATGGGGGTACTGACTGCCGCCCACACGATGGGTATGGGGGTACTGACTGCCGCCCACACGATGGGTATGGGGGTACTGACTGCCCCCCACCGAGGTATGGGGGTTTCTGACTGCCGCCCACGATGGGTATGGGGGTTACTGGAAATGCCGCCCACACGATGGGTATGGGGGTACTGACGCCGCCCACACGATGGGTAGGGGGTACTGACTGCCGCCCCCACGATGGGTATGGGGTACTGACTGCCGCCCCCCCATGGGTATGGGGGTACTGACTGCCCCCCCACGATGGTAAAGGGGTACTGACTGCCGCCCACACGATGGGTATGGGGGTACTGACTGCCGCCCCACGATGGGTATGGGGGGGGTACTGACTGCCGCCCACACGACGGGTATGGGGTTTCTGATGGCCCGCCCACACGACGGTATGGGGGTACTGACTGCCGCCCACACACGGGGATGGGGGTACTGACTGCCGCCCACACGACGGGTATGGGGGTACTGACTGCCGCCCCACACGGGTATGGGGGGTACTGACTGCCGCCCACACGACGGGATGGGGGTACTGACTGCCCCCACACGACGGGTATGGGGTACTGACTGCCGCCCACACGACGGGTATTGGGGTACTGACTGCCGCCCCACGACGGGTATGGGGGTACTGACTGCCGGCCCACACGACGGGGTTTTTGGGGGTACTGACTGCCGCCCACACGACGGGTTATGGGGGTACTGACTGCCGCCCACACGACGGGATGGGGGTACTGACTGCCGCCCACACGACGGGTATGGGGTACTGACTGCCGCCCACACGACGGGTATGGGGGGTACTGACGCCGCCCACACGACGGGGATGGGGTTACTGACTGCCGCCCACACGACGGGGTTTTGGGGGTACTGACTGCCCCCACACACGGGTATGGGGGGTACTGACTGCCGCCCCACGACGGGTATGGGGGGACTGACTGCCGCCCACACGACGGGTATAGGGTACTGACTGCCGCCCACACGCGGGTATGGGGGTACTGACTGCCGCCCACACGACGGGTATGGGGGTACTGACTGCCGCCCACACGACGGGTATGGGGGTACTGACTTCCGCCCACACGACGGGTATGGGGGACTGACTGCCGCCCACACGACGGGTAATGGGGGTACTGACTGCCGCCCACCGACGGGGATGGGGGTACTGACTGCCGCCCACACGAAAGGGTATGGGGGTACTGACTGCCGCCCACACGACGGGTATGGGGTATTTACTGCCGCCCACACGACGGGTATGGGGGTACTGACTGCCGCCCACACGACGGGTATGGGGGTCTGACTGCCGCCCACACGACGGGTATGGGGGTACTGACTGCCGCCCACACGACGGGTATGGGGGTACTGACTGCCCCCCACACGACGGGTATGGGGGTACTGACTGCCGCCCACACGACGGGTATGGGGGTACTGACTGCCGCCCCCACGACGGGGATGGGGGTATGACTGCCGCCCACACGACGGGTATGGGGGTACTGACTGCCGCCCACACGACGGGTATGGGGGTATGACTGCCGCCACACACGGGTATGGGGGTACTGACTGCCGCCACACGAAAGGGTATGGGGGTACTGACTGCCGCCCACACGACGGGTATGGGGGTAACTGACTGCCCCCCACACGACGGGTATGGGGGTACTGACTGCCGCCCCCACGACGGGTATGGGGGGACTGACTGCCCCCACACACGGGGATGGGGGTACTGACTGCCGCCCACACGACGGGTATATGGGGGTACTGCTGCCGCCCACACGACGGGTAAAGGGGGTACTGACTGCCGCCCACAAAGACGGGGATGGGGTACTGACTGCCCCCCACACGACGGTAGGGGGTACTGACTGCCGCCCACACGACGGGTATGGGGGTACTGACTGCCGCCCACACGACGGGTATGGGGGTACTGACTGCCGCCCCCACGACGGTATGGGGGGGGACTGACTGCCGCCCACACGACGGGTATGGGGGTACTGACTGCCCCACACGACGGGTATGGGGGGTACTGACTGCCGCCCACACGACGGGTATGGGGGTACTGACTGCCGCCCACACGACGGTATGGGGGTACTGACTGCCGCCACACGACGGATGGGGGTACTGACTGCCGCCCACACGACGGGTATGGGGGTACGACTGCCGCCCCACGACGGGGATGGGGGTACTGACTGCCGCCCACACGACGGGTATGGGGTACTGACTGCCGCCCACACGACGGGTATGGGGGTAATGACTGCCGCCCACACGACGGGTATGGGGGTACTGACTGCCGCCCACACGAAAGGGTATGGGGGTACTGGGCTGCCGCCCACACGACGGGTATGGGGGTACTGACTGCCGCCCACACACGGGTATGGGGGTACTGACTGCCGCCCACACGACGGGTATGGGGGTACTGACTGCCGCCCACACGACGGGTATGGGGGTACTGACTGCCGCCCACACGAAAGGTATGGGGGGACTGACTGCCCCCCACACGACGGGTATGGGGTACTGACGGGCCGCCCACACGACGGTATGGGGGTACTGACTGCCGCCCCCACGACGGGGGTATGGGGGTACTGACTGCCGCCCCCACCACGGGTATGGGGTAAATGACTGCCGCCCACACCACGGGTTTTGGGGTACTGGGCTGCCCCCCACACACGGGTATGGGGGTACTGAAATGCCGCCCACACCACGGTAGGGGGGTACTGACTGCCGCCCACACCACGGTATGGGGGTACTGACTGCCGCCCACACCACGGGTATGGGGGTACGAATGCCGCCCACACCACGGGTATGGGGGGGGTACTGACTGCCGCCCACACCCCCGGGTATGGGGGTACTGACTGCCGCCCACACCACGGGTATGGGGGTACTGACTGCCGCCCACACCACGGGTATGGGGGTACTGACTGCCGCCCACACCACGGGTATGGGGGTACTGACTGCCCCCCACAACCACGGGTATGGGGGGTACTGACTGCCGCCCACACCACGGGTATGGGGGTACTGACTGCCGCCCACACCACGGGTATGGGGGTACTGACTGCCGCCCACACCACGGGTAAAGGGGGTATGACTGCCGCCCACACCACGGGTATGGGGGTACTGACTGCCGCCCACACCACGGGTTGGGGGTACTGACTGCCGCCCCACCACGGGTATGGGGGGGTACTGACTGCCCGCCCACACCACGGGTATGGGGGTACTGACTGCCGCCCACACCACGGGTATGGAGTACTGACTGCCGCCCACACCATGGGTGGTAAGGCTGCCGCCCACGCCATGGGGATACTGACTGCCGCCCACGCCATGGGGATGGGGGAAGACTGGCGCCCACGCCATGGGGATGGGGGGTAATACTGCCGCCCACGCCATGGGGATGGGGGTAATACTGCCGCCCACGCCATGGGGATGGGGTTTAATACTGCCCCCCCACCCATGGGGATGGGGGTAATACTGCCGCCCCACGCCATGGGGATGGGGGGTAGACTGCCGCCCCACGCCATGGGTGGTAGACTGCCGCCCCCCGCCATG